TAAACTGACAACTTCTTCTTGCTAAATAAGCCAAAAAAGCAAAATTTGCTTAAAATTTACTTATAAAATTTAGGTGCGTCAATCATTTGACTCATAATTAAAAAATTTACACACATGATCTGCGTGACAAATCGTGTGACTGATACGTTTATAATACGTATAAGTTAAAAATACAGTATTTTATATAAAATTACTAAATAAGTTATATTGTAAATTTAAAATTTAAACTAAATTATTGTTAACTTATATGTTTAGATTTATAATACAATTAGATTCTTTACGTACGTACGTACGAACTTGAGGTTTAAAAGAGGTTGTATTTAGAAAGGTCTAACTATAGATCGAAAAAAACCAAATTTAAACTAATACGTAAGTATTTTGTAAAGTTCATATGTAAAGTTAGTGTGACCATTAAATGATCGCCATATAGTACCCTAACTATTGTTTGATTTACGTACGATATTAGCCTAGCGTAGTACGCACGTACGTACGTGTAACGGCAATAACGTTTGTGAATATATCAGATATTATTGATCTATCATTTTAGCGCAACGATCAAAAATACTTAATAGGTTAATAAATAATTGCCCACTTACTATCAAAAAAGAATGTGATGTAGTTCAAATTTGGATCAGTGTTGGGGTCTAGTAGATCGTTCATATGACAGTGGTTTGAATGGTTACACCTGACGACTTTCGGAGTTACAAGCTTGACAAATGGCGGTATTTATAGGTGATACAATATTATTTAAGTATTAGCCTTACACATTAACTGTTAATTTTACAAGCACGTACTCAACGCGAACATATTAAACATATATATATATGTGTGTGAGTGTAAGCAGTACAATTTTTGAGTGGGGTTAGAGAGTTAAATTAAAATAAACATTCATTCTAAAATACTAGTAGTAAACAATGGACATCTTTGTAAGGTTTATAAAAGCAGATAATATCGGAGAAGCTGATCTCAAAAACTTAGCGCATTATAAGTATGGTGCAATTGATAAATCACCAATAGCAAATTACATACTTAAGCATTATTGGAACTGGGCAATCGAATTGTTTCCCAGGTGGATGGCGTGAGTTGTTTCTCCAACGTTCTTTTACACAAGTTCTTTAACCTTTGTTCCACCATGAACTGCTAAATAGTAATTGATCTATTATCGTATTTTTCATTCTTCAGTCCCAATTTAATAACTTTATGTGGATTAGGATTTGTATTTATTAATGTCTTAAGCGTTATCTATTGGATTAATGATTTAGTAGGACCTGGTCCACAGTGGCTCTACTGGACGCAAATATTAAGCAAATTTTATTGATGTTCTGTTGTTTTATTTTATAATATTTTATTATATTTATTTATTATTTTCTCTCATTTATACAGTTTTCCGCTAGGTTTATGGTTATATTCAACATTTGACAATGTGGATGGCAAGCAAGCTCGGCGTACTGGAACTTCTTCACCTCTTGGCGAGTTATTTGATCATGGATGTGACGCCCTTAATTGCTCTTTCAGCGCAGTAGTTCTTGCTGGCGTCTTAGGACTAGGACATACTTATTATGCTGCTGCCTTCCTTCTCTTAATAATTGTACCTTTTTATATGTCTACCTGGGAAGAATATCACACCGGAGTATTATATCTTGGGTACTTTAACGGTCCCACAGAAGGTGTCTTGGGAGCTTGTATATTAATGATAATCTCTGCAATTAGGGGTGATTATATTATAATGTTAATTGTTATAGATTTATAAAACTTTTTTATTGAATTAATATTTAAAAATTCCTTCTAATTTATTCATAGGTCCAGGATTATGGATGGAAGAATTGCGAAATGTAATGAATCCTGTGCCTGAATTCATTCCACCTAACTGGTGTTTGGTAGATTTGATCCTCATTTTCACGTTTTTATCTGTAGTGGCGCTACATATTCCAAACAGGTACAGCTACCATGTTAAATATAGCAACATAAACTTTCCTTATTTTATTAATCTGGTATTATTTATTTCAGTATATATAATGTATACTTAGCATGTCGTGATAAAAATGAATCATTCCGCACAGCTATTTCTCAGCTGTTCACAATAGCTTTATATTCTGTGAGCGGAATCTTTTGGATCACATCACCTCACTCATATATACTAAAGCATAAACACTTCATTTTGTTCGCACTTACAGTTGGAGTGGTATTTGGTCGTATCGCGACTAAAGTTATATTGGCGCATTTGACAAAAAAACCATTTCCAATGTATACTGTCCTTTTGGCTCCATTGTTTATAGGAGCTGTTTTGACAAATATACCGGAGCTTTTTAACACGTAAATGTTCACTATTATTCTCTATTCTTCAAAACCCAGTTTAATTTTATTTGAGACGCTAAATTTATTTATTTACTTTTTGTGCATAAATGAATTAGCGCACCGATTCTCTCACCTACTTCTGAATACTATTATTTACTGGCGTACTTTGGCTTTACTGTGGTGGCATACACGCGTTGGGCAATTTATATTATAAACAAGTTTTGTGAGTTTTTAAATATAAATTGCCTTCGTATTCCACTTTCGATGAAGGACGATTAATTAAAAGGGTATTTAAACAAACACAGTGAACTCTAAATACATTTTCTTAGAGCATAAGGTCGACTCTACATAGAAATGTACTCGGAGAAATTCCCTTAAGCTTTGAATAGACTAGAATTTGTATTTAGAAGATTCATATGGTTAGATATATGTTCATGCTTATACAAAATTAAATATAATTAAAGTTTTTGGTTTTCTTATCCCGGCCAGGTTAATTTATTCCGTATTAAATATATTTAAACTTTTAAAAGATTATATCTATATACAATAACTGAGTAGATATTTCAATAAAAATTTATATATATAAAATTTAAAAAAAAAAATCCAGGTGGCCGGCTGTTTAGAAATTTTAATGATATGAAAACCAAAAAATTGACTTTGTATGGTCTTATTCAATTTGTTTTATACAAGTTTGGTTAATTTTTTTTTTTTTTTTTTTTAATAATAAAGCTTTAAACTATCAAATTAGACCAAATAATTTATAGTTGTGTTAAACGTATATACAAATTGCCTTTATTATCAAAAAAAATTTTTTTTTTTTTTTTTTTAGATCATCTAAATAAAAATTATATGAAAGGGTGAAACCCGCGACAGAGATAGTTACGAATCCAGGGGAGACCGTCCCAAATTAGGAAATTATTCCGATATGGTTACACAAGTATCAAAGAAAATTTTTTATACGTTTTACAATACTTTTTCGGGGAGTTCGGGTAACCTAACCCTTTTAAGAAACGTGAGCAAACGCACTAAGTAAACTTGAAGCCTTCATACCGTACTATAACATATTTTCTTAATCCCTCTTAATCCCACAGCCTTCGTGTACAATATGTCTGACAAAACCAAGTCTAAAAGCAAGCAATGTGAAGAATGCGGAACCAATAAATCACCGAAATTCTGTTCATTAAAGAGCGAAAAATGGAGACAGGCTGAAAGAAACGGCTTAGTAAAGGTAACATGGAAAGATGGTATTATGTTATGCCACAAATGTTATATGGATTTAGTAGAAAATCCGTTACAAAGGATTAAAAAAGGTACTAAACGAGTAAGAGTCACAGTTGAAGAGGCAGGAAACGAAATAGAAGCTACAAGAAGAGAAGCGGAAGAAAGACAAGTTAAAGAAGAGGTAGAATTCGTGTATGAGAATGAAGAAGATGCTATAATTAGAGAGGAAATTGACACTATAGTTAGGGAAAAAGTAATAAACGAAAAATTAGAGAGTACTAACGAAGAGGATTTAGATGTTACCACTGAGAAAGAGGTAGATGCTATCGATAAAGAAGAGATACGTATGATTAACCTTGTTGAAGTTATAAAAGCGATGGCAAGAATCTTTTATGAAAGGGAACATGTACAGAAAGAGGGACCCATATATTCATTCGACGAAATGCGAGAATTACTTCCACAAATCGACTCAAGCTTGAAGGATTTTTTCACCAACTTTATTTGATAGCTCGGCCATTTCAACGTTGTGAGAAGACAATGGGGCGTATGAAAAAATTAATGGTGTTTTTGTGTTATCTCCTTGCGTCGTTAAATAATTCAAAAATTAACTCTTTCAAATTTGATTTAGCATACTATTTAGATTCAGTAGGTACAAGTAATGAAGGTCTAAACACATTAGCCAGTATTGGAGTAACCACAACTGCGAGGGCGGTAGACCGTAAGAAAAGACAGTTTTCGGCGGCATATGGGGAATATGTAGAAAAATCACTTGGAAATCGTTTGGAAAATGCTCTCGTGCTGAATGTTGATGATTATCATAACATTCACGTTCAACGACAGCCTAATACTACCAGTACATCATGGGCAGCACATATGGTGACAATTATTACAAATCTGTGCCCCATATCAGCGATACCACTTAACAGGGCGCTTAACCCAAAGGTCGTTGATGATGAGCTAATTTTGAAGCATCTTGACGAACGATTTATTACGAACCTTGGAGTTTCTTATCATGACCATAGACAAAATTATATAGGTAAGTGTTCTGATGATAAGCTTATGGAAAGACTAACTTTACACAGTTACGACGATAGGTTGGCGGAAAAAAAGAGCAACCAACATATACAGAATGCCATTCTTTTTGATTTCGTTGAAAGTAAGTTGAAGAGTGTTGAAGATTCTTCAAATCATGTATAATTAAAGGCCAATGCAGGAGTATCTTTTCAATAATGCAATTCTGATTGTTGCAGACTGGCCCAGACAGTTCTTTATTCACAAAGCTATTGCCCATCGGCTTCTTCTCAACAACGAAATAATCCCTCTATTTGTTACGGCATTCGTGCCCATGATGGGACCTCTTCACGTTTCCTTAAATAGTCGTGAGCTCGTTTTTAAGAAGAATTGGTTTTTATTTAACGAGGTTTATAAAGGTATTTTCGGGCAGGAAAAAAAGAAACTTGGTAAGAAGCCACAGCCATGGCGAATTGATTTAATGCTTCATGTTATGCACATGGCGTGGCTTGATATATCCGATATTGTTTTTTCAAAGTTTGGTTGTACATGTAAAAATCTTGAATTTTTATATCTAACTGATCTTTTAAGTAATTTAATTCCCTTAGTCCTTGACGTTTACATAGTGCATCATCGAGAAGGTAACTGGCCGGCTTACGAAGAAGCTTGTATGCGCTACTGGTGCGATCTTTTTCTTCGATTTGATCAAAGAAATTATAAGCGTGCACCTTTAATGTTTTTTTCTGATATTTTTTATTGGATGGAAATTAATCATCCAATGATCAATATAGTTACTAATCACCTTGCTTCTTTGAGCGATTTTCCTGTAGAACTTGTTCACAGTATAATTCGATAACGTACGAATAAGTTTTCTGAAGCAGATCAGTTACAGAAGGCGGCACGTTTTATTTTTCAACACCAGGAAGACAATTCGTTTCGGCAATATTTTGTGAATTCGATTAAATATCCATATACTCCCAAGCAATTGCACACGCTCTACAGAAAATGTGCTATAGTGCTCTTGGACATGTTTAAGAAAATATATCGTGCACGCTGTGTTTACTCTTTAACCATTAATTCTTCTGATGGTATTAACATGTATAAGTTATCTTCTTTAGGCTACGAAATAATGGATCCGCACCTTCCACGAGGTTTTGTTATCTCTAGAAAACCTTTTACAACTGTCTTGTATGATTACTTGCATTGTGACCATACCGACTATACCAACTTTTCAGATAATGGCAAAGTTCTTTCGTATGGGCATGGTTACCATAATCGTTGTATGGAAAAATGTCAATTTAAGTGCATAATTTGTCTCGATTACCTTCGGGACGAAATTAAAAAAAATATTATTGCACTCAAGGTAAGTATGAAGAAAAAATTGGGAAAAAATGAGTTTATCGAAAAGGATGATGAAAATACAATCGATGATGATTTAGGGGATTCTGAAATAGCAACTGACGATGTAACTGCAACAGAAAATTTATTAGAAAATGCAAAAAAATCATTTTTTGAATTGTAAAACTTTTTATTAAATAAAAAAAAAAAAAATTATTGCAACATTATTACATTATTATTATTTTAATTATTTAAAAATTATTACTAAAAAAATTATCGCAAAGTTAATTATTTAAAA